AATGGATGCACATCTAGAGTTGATTCAATTCGAATAAGTAAAGCATACCGTGCAATTTTCTTTTGATGGAACGTTCATATATTCTAGATCCATGTGTGCGACCCTTGGTGTCATTGTCTAAGAATAATTGATATTTCCCTGCAGTTGGATCCTATTCGATTGTGAAGTTCTACCTATTTGTTCAATAACATGTACGAGGTAATTGCGTTGTAGTAGATCGTATTCAAGAAAAAAATGTAAATTCAATATTTTTTTCATTATGAAACATTGTGTATAACCTTGTTATGGACTAGTTGAAGTTAAAATTCCATTTCATAACTTCAGAACTTGAATAACAGTTGTCATTGATAATGCTAATAGTTGAGTGACCCTAAAGCCACTCGTGGGTTCTTCGTTTTTTTTTTTCCTTTTTCTTCTATTCTTTTGAGATTTACGAGTTATACTGTCTTCGTTTAGGTAAAAAATAAAAAATAAAAACATGGAGGTCTGAGCAGATGTGTCAAACTGACTTGATTTTTCTCGAAATAATGTGATGATATTAAAAAATGAGTAATGTTATTTATTTGTACGGGTGATCATCATCAAGTTATATGACATTAAGGTGAAGGGGTAACCTGCTAGATACATGTAACATTATTCAACTTCAATAGGGATAAATTACCTTATTCTTTAAGAATAATTCACGTTTGAAAGGGAAATCAACATAAATCCATCCATCTACGTTGTTACCAATGAATTTTAGGGAATTACAGCTAATTAAAACCATAAATGATATTTTCTAGAGACTGCACGAATGTTTTTTATTAGAGATTGAGACCTATCCTTATCGTTATGTGAATCATATCTAAGGAAAACTGCAAATTTTGATAATTTATATTTGTATATGTACTTAGACATGCATTCTTATTCTCACTATTTTAAATAATTTGTTTATCAAATTGATATCGATTCCATTTGGTGTCGAGTAGTGGTAAAGATTTTGACGTGGGAACAAAAATTTTAATTTGTCTTCGGAATTAACGAGATATTGATGTAATAATTTTGTTTTTTAGATTATCGTATTCATTATACCCCTATTATGATCACATTCACAAGATTATCTGTCTGTGGTGTGAATCAGATTTGGCACGACTCTGCTATTATTTTGTCAAGCTTGATGAACTAAACTAAATGTGATGGAACACGATTGAAGATGTAGCTAAAAAGGATATATAGACTTGATATGTAACTTTTATATAAAGAATTATCAAAGAAACGTGAGGTAATTTCATTAAATTATTATATTTTCTTTCATTGCTTCGTTTTCTTGACTTGGAGTATGGAAAGGCTATTGTCACAACATTGTTCGGCACTTCTTATGTTTTTCATGATCGCGAATTTAATCACTTAAGAAGATTTTAATGGATCGATCGTCGAGGTTAAAAAGAGAAATTTGAAGGATTCAAAGAAGTGTCGTCAATACATATTTATTTCAATTGACTCCAAATAATTATTAAAAAAAATAAAAAATGTACTAATTAAATAGAGATTTGCACGAATTCAATAGAGATAATGTTGCAACTTAATATTCAGTAAATAAATTTTTCATTCTATCACATTTTCATTTTTAACATTTCATTGATTAGAAAATATTGTCCTTAATAAGGATTTTCGTCCCAAAATATTATTAAGGAGTTTTAAAATGGATCGAATATTTAATCGTATTTTTGGATTATTATTCATTTTGCTTCTTAAAAATACAATAACCAAATGGGTCTTTGTAATCTTTCTTAAAGAAATTTTGGAAAGAAATCATAATCAGCAATGTTAATTTAAGAATAAAAATGCAATGAAAAGAAAAAGTTTGAGACATAAATGTGATTAATATAATGTGAATGTTATGAATTGATTGCAAGATAACAACGATAATGAAATAAGCAAGAATAGATTAAGAACATCAAAATTTATGCGAAAACCCAAAATGAGAAAAAAGTATAGGTAGAGGAGGAGAAATATACTATGATCAATAATAATTGCGTTTATAACAAGATTTCAATACTCTCAACTAAGATCTAAAGTTCTAAAAATGTATATATGTTATGAAAACAATACAAGCCGTGACTTATATATAAAATTCTAGAAATTAGGTTGTAGATGATTAGGAGTCCAAAATGCGATAGGCGGGTTGTCGCCCCACCGTTAGTGTGTCAGGCGAGCGAAAAGTTTCTGTAAAAAATATGTTGGTGCTGCTCAAGCGGCCAACTAGCAGTAGGCTAGCGAAAATGCAGCGACTTTTATTTTCGGTCCATAATTCTGACCTCTTCAAGACAACTTCAACTAGAACTTCAATACTCATTAGAATTTGGGTCACATTACTAGAATGAATAATATTTTAAATATATTCAAATATTTTATTGTTTAGTACGGACTGCACGGCATGGTATGATCCGTTTCTCTACTGGTAAACTGTGATCCCCCCCCCCCCCCCCCCCCCCCCCCCCCCCCCCCCCCCCCCCCCCCCCCCCCCCCCCCCCCCCCCCCCCCCCCCCCCCCCCCCCCCCCCCCCCCCCCCCCCCCCCCCCCCCCCCCCCCCCCCCCCCCCCCCCCCCCCCCCCCCCCCCCCCCCCCCCCCCCCCCCCCCCCCCCCCCCCCCCCCCCCCCCCCCCCCCCCCCCCCCCCCCCCCCCCCCCCCCCCCCCCCCCCCCCCCCCCCCCCCCCCCCCCCCCCCCCCCCCCCCCCCCCCCCCCCCCCCCCCCCCCCCCCCCCACCAAGAGAAAAACATCGACACATGCCATAATGTGTGGGTTCTATCTTTGCCTACATAGTTTTCCCAGATCTTAATCCTAACGCACATGATTCTTGATTACCTAAATGGGACACAAATGTTTTTATTGCACATATTTTTCTGTGAGGAATTAATGTATTTTTAAGAAAACGTATCATCAAATGAATAAATTAACTATACAGTATTATATATTTTATGTATTTGTATCAGTAACCATGTGATGTGATTCAACATAATTGAACCTTCATAATTCTCTTCCAGCTCTATGTTTTATGGGCACTCACTAATATATTATTTGATCCACCTAAGTTTGAGTTGTGTGTGTGCGCGTGCGAGCTCGTCGCTTACTGATAAGTTTTAATTGTTCGTGTGTGAGTTGTGCATGTGATTTATATATCAATTATTAGTTAATCTTGTTATGAAGTCGTTATCAAAATGAAATTATAATTAACTAAAGAGAGAGATTCATAATAACTTTGAATGTAGTTCATAATTAACAATTTACTATAATTTCATTACATTATAATCATGGGGGACGAGTTATCGTAAAGCAGAGTCGAAAGGTTGAAACATCAATTAGGATTTCACTAATCCAAAGTCGAAAGTTGAAGATCTAAGTATTACAAATTGAAAAGTGATAACATCTTTGCTCTATTACATATCTTAGTTGTAATTGTCTCTTATGTAGTTATTTCAGAAAAACGAGTCTCACCAAGCATTTGAAAAAGGAGCAAAATTAATCATATACACAAAAGATACGAATAAACCATTTCGATTTTAATTCTAAACACCGTACATCCTTTATGCCGTGTGGAAAATGTGTTCTTGATGTCTTATAATTCCTATAAATTGCTATAATAGATCAATTTTCATTAAAAAAATGTTTCAATTTCGGATTATATTTTTATACGAATGAGAGAGAGAGAGAGTTTACAGTTGACATATTCAAGAAAAAATGTGGTCGAATTGATGAATTTTAGCAGAAATGGGCCCACTCCAACCAAATCCAACTTGCCCACTAAACGGACGCTATTCACCAAACACCAAGTTGCATCTCTAAACATCTTAGCAATCTTAACCAAATCAAATTGCTATTCTACGTCTTGTTTGTTAAGATAAAGTGAAGACAGAGTAATTACTTGGAGATTTTCTTGGCTAGTAACCCTAATAAAAAATTGGAAAAAACCTAATGTACAGGCCCTGTGTTCTGTACAGGCCCCCTCACATGCTGTGTGAGGGGGCGGGGCGTGGGGGATTATTTTAAAAAAGAATTACCCACCCCCCTGCATAATAAAAAATTACAATACCCTCAACGTGGGTTTTCTATGTTTCTTTGATTAATTATTCTCTAATTTGATTTCTAATTATAAGCGACTTACTCCTACAATAACAATGCATAGTTAAACAATTGATGAAGGATCCACAATTTGAAGGGACAAACGAGTACCATTTGAGCTTCGATGATAGCTTGAGCCATATAAAGGTTGAATAAAATAATGAAATAAGACAATTTAACCTTAAGAAAATAATAATTATCGATTCCCACCAATACTAGTTTCCAGTTACATTGTTAATTTTATTATTATTATTATTATTTTGGTAATGGAAACAAATTCTAAGAAATATTGTACAAAAATATTTCATTTTAATTGGCAATTTTCATGTGAAACAAAGTCAAACGAATATCAAAAAATAGATGATTTTCTTGATTATTTTATTTTTATTTTTTGTTGACAATAGAAACAAATTTCATTCTCAATACCAGTAAAATCTATCCCTTTAATTGATAATTTTCATGTAAAAAAAAGTCAAACTAACATCACAAAACACTTTTATTTTAATATTTTTCACGTGAAAAATTATATCAATCAAACACAATAATTTAGAATTCTTAGAAAAACCATTTTTAAGCAATTTAATTCCCTAGAATTCTTTTTCAATTCAATTCAATTTCATCTTTGCAATCAAACGAACCCTAAGAAACATTTTTAAAAACTTGATGAAAAGAAGGTCATTCTTAATGTTTGTTTTGTAGGAATTTTGATAATTAATTTCTGATCGTTAGAAATAAAGTAGGTCCTATCTGTAAAAAAAGAATTCAAAAATGACAACTAAAATAATGAAATAATGATGAAAAAATTAATTTTAATTGGCTTACAATCTGTAACAAACAAGTCTCCCCCTCCCCATCTCTTGTTTCTGCTCCATTTTCGTGAGAAATAAGAATTTTGTATCAACTAACGACGAAAATAATACTATCGAACAATCACCTCATTTTATCCTTCTTCGTTACTGCTCCGTCTTCACTCACTTTTTTATCTCCTCCACTCCCTCTCACACGCACACGCACACAAATCCTGTATCTATCCCCTCCACCATTGTCATCCTCCCCTCATCTCTTCCTCCTCCACTCCTCTCCAAAATCCCATACACCAAAATACAATATCAAGAAGCAAGAATCCCCTTTTTTCAGAACTGAGATCTCTCTCCCCGGCTATCTATAACTCGGTTTTTTCCAGATCTTGACAAGAAAGACGACACCCAAAACCCCATCTTTCATATACATATAGGAATTTATAAGAAATTTGGGTCTGAAGATGGGTTCTATGAAGTTAGATCTATATAGCAGAATCTACCCGGAACCGGTCGACCACTTTGATATGCTACCAGATTCTATTATTCTCATTATCTTTAACAAAATTGGAGATGTCAAGGCCTTGGGTCGATGCTGCGTCGTTTCGAAAAGGTTTCACTCTCTGGTTCCTCAGGTCGATAACGTCGTTGTTCGTGTCGATTGTGTCATCTCTGATGAAAATTCATCCATTTCGGGAACCTCCGCTGCCTCGGCGTCGACGGCTGACAAGTCCCGCCACCCCATCTCATCCCTTTTCCGGCTTTTCTTTTCGGGCCTCTATAAGTCACTTACCCAGCTTATGACTTCCTCCCCACGCCGCCCCATCGTTTCGAATTCGGAAGATTTTAACTTCAATATGGACCAGAACAGCGTTACCCATCATTCCCCTACTCAAGTCTTGAAGAATTTTGATGAAATTAAGTTTCTGAAAATTGAGTTACCCAATGGGGAGCTCGGGATTGAAGAAGGTATTTTGCTTAAATGGAAGGCGGACTTCGGTTCCACTCTCGACAATTGTGTTATTCTTGGAGCCTCCAGTGTCATTCAGGCTGCGAATGCTAAAAAGTGTTCCAGTGTTTGTAACAATGATAATAATGGAGCTGAGAGCGATAATGGGAGCATACCCGAATCATTTTACACAAATGGGGGCTTGAAACTGCGTGTTGTGTGGACAATAACCTCATTGATGGCTGCCTCTGCTAGGCATTACCTGCTGCAGCCAATAATAGTAGAGCACAAGACGTTGGAGACCTTGGTTTTGACGGATGGTGATGGACAAGGGGTGTTGTCTATGAATAAAGAGCAGTTGGAGGAACTGAGGGTGAAGCCTCTATCTGCCTCATCAGCTTCCAAGAGGACTCTGGTACCGGCTTTGAGTATGCGGTTGTGGTATGCGGCACATTTGGAGTTGCCCAATGGGAGTGTGTTGAAAGGGGCGACCTTGGTTGCTATCAGACCAAGTGAGCAGCCCAAGGAGGTTTTGGGGTCAGAAGCCAGTTGGGTTGCTTCGGCGTTTGAGGAGCCATTTGGAACTGCTGCAAGGATGCTGGTGAAAAGGAGGACTTACTGTCTGGAAATGAACTCATTTTGAGATGGGATTCCATGAATACATGTTTGAGGTAAATTCCTTTTTACAGATTTATTGGAAATTTTGAATTGGTACAGAGATCTCTATACTTGTAGGCATGTGTTCTGTATTTTTTAATTGCAATTTTTGAATCTGAGTATTAGTTCAATGATCTGTGCATTCGTTAGTATGCTAGGATGTTTTTCTGGGTGGTTTATATGTGATTCTTTGGCTAGTTTCCCTTCTGAAGCGCTACCACTTTGCATTGCTTATGCTGTTGAAAATTGTAAATCCAATTTTTATCTGTGAGCTATACTTTTTAATTATATGTTCCTGCATTAATTAGTTTCAGGGGGTAAACAGTAAAATTATGGTTTAATTCATTATCTATTTCTCAAATCTGACCTTTGTAATCTGGACGAATTGTCTTCTGTCTTGTGTTTAGTGTTATGATCGTCTCTTGTGTAGTAATGATATCTGTTTACATTGAATTTATGATGATGTATTCCTGGGAAATATTTGTCTCATTCATTTCCTGCATTGCTTGAACTTTAACAATATTATCAAAATCTTTTTTCTCAAGACATGATATTGTGGCTTTTTTAATTATATTTTAGGCTTTGTTTTAGTGTGTTGTAGCCTGCAGTTTGAGGGTAAGTGCTAAAAAGTTGAATGGGGAATTCATTCCTTTTTTTTTTTTTTTTTTTTTTTTGGGACAGTGATGGTATAGTTTCCAGATATTATTTTTATCTGGGGGGCGTTTGTTTCTCATTTTTGTAAAAATGAAAATGAAAAATATAGTCGTTATGGGCCCACATAAGAGATAGAAATTCAAATTTGGTGGCTTGATGTGATGGATAACGATCATATTTTTCATTTTAATGAGAAAAAAATGGGAAACAAATAGGGGCCTAATCTTGTACTTTTAGTTTTAGGTGTAGGTCAGTTCTTCAAATAATTCATAAGCTTGACATAATTTTTTACAATATAGAATATAGTACCTCAGGTATGCTGGGCGACGTTTCTTTTTTATTTTATCTACTTTTCGCTGAATAGAATGTGAAATCCTTTCACATATATCTTGAAATAGAGATAATCTTCTGCATTTTCTATATGCATGGTAATCTTGACACTGCTCTGCATTTGTATTTACACGTGCACTTCTTTTATTATTGTTTCTTATTTCTTTTATCAGTTTGAATCGTTCGCTTACTCTCCCTGAATCCATTTTTGGTGTTAATTGAACTTTCTGGGATAACACAACTTTCCTAGGAGGAGGAAGATGAGGAGTATTCACATGCAGGGAAAACACAATTTTTTCTTAAGCACAATAATGTACCATGGGCAAATAGCTAGCCAAAATTATCTTTCTTCTACAATGACGAAAAGCCAGCAGGTGATCAATAATGAGCTGTGGAATGATCCTCCTACAGTCGAGCTGATGCTTGATGGGCATTTGCTTTTATATTAAGTTCAGGCATGTGCTTTTACGGGCGCACATATTCTTATGGATTGATGTTGAGCTTTGTGCCTTTGATTTTATGCTCTTCTTCTTTACTAATTTTCGACATCTGTGAATATGGTATGCTTATGCTTTGTTCCATTAAGGTTCATTGAGCAATGTGTCTTTCAATTATCTGGATATTCATATCTGCTGAATTATGGGTAGCAGATATGAGAAATAAATAAATTGACGTACTGTATTGCCTTAATTGAGACATTTTATAAAATGCAATGCAGATTATGTTATTACTAGTCTTCATTTCATGCGTTGTACGAGTATTGTATTTAGTATGTTATTATTAGTGTGGAATGTGTTAAATTTAGAAAAAGTTTTTGAAGTTTTTGAAAATGAAAAATATTTATGTCACAAACTAGATGATTTAACAAATTGGAGAAAAAAGAATTGCAGATAAAAATAGAAAAATAAAATTAAAGGAAAAAATAAAAAGAAGCAAAAAAGTTATTATAAAGTCTTTAAAATATATATATATATATATATATATATATATATATATATATTATAGAGTTTTTAAAAAAGAATTTTATATTGAAAAAAATTATTTATAATATGAAGAAAAAAGAAATTTTAAGACAATTTAAAAAAAATATATATATATATATAATAGAAACAAAATACAAGAAAGGTACGAAAATTAAATAAAGAATATATAAATTTTGTTTAGTTAAAATTAAAAAAATTAAGCTTTAGCAATTGTCTATTGACATGTACGTCTCGAAATCATATTGAAGAATTACATAGATTATCTTATTTATGGGATACATAATAAGAAATATGCAATATATACTTTGTATCTCAATTTAAATTTCACATATTATTAGAATTTACTACTTAAACACTTTTAATTTAAGAATTCAATAGATCATATTTTAGGCAAATGTCATTCATTCAAGTCTTACCGCTGCATATCTAATGAAATCGCGCACGTGAGGAGCATATTGAAGACAATTTAAATAATATATATGTAACTTCATCTAACAATTTAAAATTTTTAAGTTTTACCATGCTATCTTTCTTTCTATATTAGCACTGTATATAATATAAATTCGATATTATTTTTTTAAAATGTATCATTACATTATAATGATAAACATGTTTGAAACTTTTGATTTTACCAGACGATACAAATAAGGACAATTAAGAAATTCAACGCATAATTTTCTTGATTAATCATTTTCAATCACGTAACATCTTATTTTTCATGAAAATAAATGTTAGCTATCATAGAAAATTACAAATTTTTATGTAATATCTTTCAAGGATTCTTTCAATTGACATGTCGAGTTTCTTATATTATTCGGTAGGATTACTTGTTTCCACCACAAATTCGTGAATTAGTATAGTTTGTTGACCAGCTTTTGAGTACGATGAAAAATTTATTCTAGGGATATTTTGGAAACTTTATAAATTGATGTTATATTTTTTACTTACAACTATGTAGAAAAAAAAAATGGTCACACGTATGGGCTCCTCCTACCCTTTGTAACTATCATTTTACACCACGAATAAAAAAACTAAACGATTTAACAAATTAAAGAACAAAAAAATTGTAGGCGAAAAAAAAAAGTTATTGTAAAGTTTTTTGATTAAATTGAAATAATTAAAATTAAAAATAAATATTATTTATTAAAAATAAAAAGATTGACGTTTTATCATAAAATAAAAAGAATTCTAATCCAAAAAAAATTTATTTATAATATGAAAAAAAAGAAATTTTAAAACAATTTTCAAAAAATATAATAAAAACAAAATAAAAGAAAGTTACAAAAATTAAATAAAGAATATATAAATATTATTTAGTTAAAATTGAAAAATTAAGTTTTATCTTGAAGAGAAAAGAACAAAAAAGAATTTTAAATTAAAAAAATCATTTATAATGTAAACAAAAACAAATAAAAAAAATGCTTTCACAATTTATTTTAACTCATTTTTTTATCTCGCCCGCACTAAAAAATTATCTTGGGTCCGCCCCTGAGTATCCTCTCCGTGCACGGAGTGTTTGAACCTCAGTTTCTTCCCTTTAAATTTTTGGTATCTTCCATTTAAATTTTTTCAATACATCAAAATCCCCAACATGAGATGCATTATCTGAAGTATCTTCCTCATTTTTTATGGTAAATGGATTAAAAGATTGATAACTTGAACAATCACCCATCCCCCTATCCACATATCTGTGGTTACTAATGACATTCGACTTGCTCAAAGAAGCTAATAAGTGCTGCAAAAGTCAAGATGAGTTTGAATGTGTTAATATACCATTAGAAGAGTAAGAAGATCATGTATTCAGGCGGTACTGCAATTAATGAAGGTGAATAAGTGTGCAAGAAATATGAAAAAGAAATGAGGCTTAATAATAATATAACCTTGTCTGGTTTAATGGAACCCATGTGGTAAAAGAGTTTTTATAAAATCAGAGAGAGACACACAGCTAAGTTATTTATTTCCTAAAATCTATGTCCAATAAATGGGATGGTACAGACCATCAAATTTTCAAAGGATTCACCCCTCCTACACCACACTACACTTATCCTCGCACTCTTCATCTCATGTTTGTTTATGCATGCGCGAGTTTTAATGGCTCACATGAGCGGAACGCACAAAGATGGGTCTCAACAGAGCCATGGTTCAACTTCATACAATGGAAGAAGAGATAAGAGAAAAGAAACAAGGTGTGATTTTTTGAAAAAGTAAAGAATTTCGGGTGAGAAAGGAGGAATATCACTGTACCAATTAGATAAAACGGTGTCGTTTTGCTCAAACACCGAGGAAACAAACAAAATGGCTACAGTGCAATAAAATAGAATAAATAAAATAAAAAAATGTTATAGTGAGATAAAATGGAACAATTCACTGTTCATTTTTACAGTAACTCCATATTTTCCTTTTTATATAGTAGGGATACATCTCAAATTTCTAATCATATAATTTTACAAGTATTCATAGCTTATGAAATATTCTCTGTCCACTAATTTGTGTGGACGTGTAGAGTATGCTTGGATAGGAACAGTGCCTGTGACTCCTGTTTTTTGGTCCGAGTTATAACTTTCTATTTTAAGGTTTTTGTTTAATTTGAAGAGGTTAAAGCCTATGACTATATATTGACAATTTGTTGAAGTCAACGAAGATGATTTATATTTGGAGTTGACAATCTTGAGGTGCTATTTATAAAGAGAAACAAAACATTACAATAAAAACAGCTTTTTGCAACGTTCAAAAAACATTGCTGAAAACATTTCGCAACATTGGACCGCATGTTACTATTGAAGACGACTTATAAAAAGGGCTATATAAAAGTTGATTTTTGATATATTTGTTTGACCACTTTTAACCCGCAAGAACGTGATCAAAACACAATTTATATGAATGAAAATTTGGACAGAGTTTCGATATAAAGATTACGCAAAACAAGGATTAAGAAAGAGTAGAAATAGAGAATAATCCAAAGTGAGACGTTATCTTTTTCCTTAAAACAAATTACCCCGCTACGGTGTTCACGGTGAATGGCACTTGTCTCTCAAGATATAATGAATTCACAACTTATGGTAGCAGCACTTCAAACCACAAGAAATCGACGAACTTTTGATAGAATTTTCCCTCTACAAAGGAAATGTATGAAATGCTATGGAATTAGAAATGAGAGAATTACAAGAGGAGAATGGATGCTCAATGCAATTGGTGTATCCAAAATCATGTCCATAGAGTTCTATTTATAGATGTAGAAAGGGTACAAATGAAGTAGTGTGAGACAAAACATGCATCCTTTTAAAAAAGTTGCAACATTTGGCCAAAACCTGCATCCTTTCGAAAAGTTGAAACACTTTATTTCTTCCAACTTTGGTCCGCAATTTTTCATTCATCCGGAATTAATTTCGAGATTCCAAATATACCACGACAATCTACTCTACGAGTAAAATAAGTTGGTCTATTTACTTTTGTAATTTGACCATCGGATCAAGTCTGAATATTTGGTCGAAATTGACACGTAGTCACACCTTTTCATTTTCCAAACTTTGATTAATAATTTGAACCAATTCCTACAATCCCCCACATGAATGGAAATTCGAGTACGCATATGCAAATGCGATGATATGATGCAATGTAGAGAGGGTGCGAAAAAATATTGTATTAGGGATGGTGGCTTCTGGCCTTGAACTTCCCTTAGTGAAATACTATCGAACTTACTTGGCTAATTGGTGAACCATAGGTCTTGAACCACTCAGACTTTGGTGTAAGTCAAGACAACAGTACTCACACATATATCTTCCCTATTCTGTACTTAGCTCTCATGACTTGGTTCATTTTGGCCCTGAACCCTTCTTGGTTTCATAAGTGTTTGGAGAATTCAAACCTTAAACAATTCTTATCGAAGCGGCCCCATTTCACACTTATATAGGTGACCTTCTATTAAGAGTATTATGCCCTACTCCACTTGACTTAATCAAGATATATGAATCATTAAAAGATAATATTAGCCTCTATTCACTCTGCAGAAAGCACTTTAGTATCATAGGAATGAATTAGGAATTCTAATTTCCTAAGTGCTTCATGGAATTTTCACAACTTAGTTGTCCCTTTGAACTAAGATCTTGGGATCTCCAGTCAACAAGGTAGGGTTACCATTGCAAAAACTCTTACGTAGTAAGCTTTAATCCCATTCCTCTCGATAGGCAACGCATTTGATCTCTAGGCATACTTTTCGTAAGTGGATCCGCAATATTCTCCTTTGATTTCACATAATCTATGGAGATAACGCAATTTGAGATCAGTTGCTTAATGGTGTTGTGTCTACGATGAATATGTCTAGACTTACCATTATACATGCTGCTTCGAGCCCTTCCAATTGTTGATTGACTATCATAATATATACTTATCGCGGGTACTGGCTTGGGCCAACATGGAACACCTTCTAAGAAATTTCGAAGTCATTCTGCTTCTTCTCCAGCTTTGTCCAAAGCAATAAACTTATATTCCATCGTTGATCGAGCTATGGACGTTTGCTTTGTTGATTAACATGATACAGCAGCTCCACCAATGGTGAATACATAACCACTAGTGGACTTGGAATCCTTCATGTCAGATATTCAATTCGTATCACAATATCCTTCTAGTACCGCAGGATATTTTGTGAAGTGTAATCCATAGGTTAAGGTATACTTCAAGTACATTAGAACCCTCGTCAATGCCTTCCAAGGATCATGGTTTGGGTTACTTGTAAATCTACTAAGTTTATTCACCGCAAAAGCAATATCCGATCGAGTGCAGTTTGTAATATACATAAGACTGCCAATTATTTGTGAATACCTTAGTTGTGATATATTTTCTCCCGTATTCTTGACTAAGTGCATACTCGGATCAAGAGGAGTTCTCGCAGGACTTTCCTCAAAACGTCAAACTTCTTAAGTACTTTTTCCATGTAGTGAGATTGTGAAAGTACAATTTTATCATGCGTTCTAGAGATTTTAATCCAAAAGATTACCTCTGCCACACCCATATCTTTCATATCAAAATGCTTTGTTAGCATCTTTTTGGTGTTAAGCAACATTTCGTGACTATTGCACATTATTAACATGTCGTCCACATATAGACATACAATTACATAGGCATACGGTGTATGTTTAATATATACATATTTGTTACATTCGTTGATCTTGAATCCATTTGACAATATTGTTTTGCCAAACTTTTGGTGCCATTGTTTAGGAGCCTGTTTTAATCCATACAAGGATTTAAAAAATTTACATACTTCGTGTTTTTGGTTAGGAGAAACGAACCCTTCAGATTGCTCCATGTAAATCTCATCTTCTAACTCACCGTTTAGGAATGCTATTTTTACATCCATTTGATGAATCTCAAGATTGTGTATTGCCGCAATTGCAATTAACAACCTTATTGACATGATTCTAGTCACGGGTGAGTAGGTATCAAAGAAATCAAATCCTTCTTTTTGCCCATATCCTTTAGCAACCAATCTAACCTTATATTTATCAATGGATCTGTCAGTTTTGAATATCCATTTGCATTCTAAAGGATTGTTATCGGGAGGTAAATCAATCAACTCCCATGTATGGTTTTGCATTATAAAATCTATCTCATTATTGATAGCTTCTTTCCATTGCGGTGCTTCCGGTGTAGACATTGCTTCATCGAAAGTCTTTGGATCATCCTCTACCATATAGGCTAGAAAATCTGGGCCAAACATCTTCAAAGTCCTAACCCTTTTACTACGCCTTAGTTCTTCCTCATTTGAAGTTCCATTGGTAGTGTCATATGTTCTCTTGTTGGAACTCATATTTTTCTTATCTTTACAAGGAAAAATATTTTCAAAAAATGTCGCATTCCTTGATTCAATTATGATCCCTTCGTGTACGTCTTGTATTTCGAATTTGTGTAAAATAAATCGATATACACTACTATTATTGGCGTATCCAATAAATATGCAATCTATTGTTTTAGGACCTATTTTTACTTGTTTAGGCTTAGGTACCTCAACCTTAGCTAAACACCCCCACACTTTCAAGTATTGGTAGGATGGAGGATGGTCTTTCCATAGTTTATATACATCTTCCATTTTCTTAAAAGGTGTTTTATTAAGAAAATTATTTGCCGTTAAAATAGCCTCCCCCCATATGTTCTGTGGTAAATCCGAACTTATTAACATGACATTCATCATTTCTTTAAGTGTTCGATTTTTGCATTCTGCAACACCATTTGATTGAGGAGAGTAAGGTGTCGTTGTTTGATGAGCAATTCCATGTTCAGAACAAAAGTACGAATATTTTTTATTCGTTTTTCAAGTTGTGTTCCAATTTCAACCTTATAGGTTTTGAATGCATCTATGGCTTCGTCTTTACTTCTCAAAAGAAAGACATAGCAAATTTTGTACAATCATCAATAAATGTCACAAAATATTTCTTACCACCTCGAGTTTGTACAAATTTTAGATCGCATATATCGCTATGGATCAATTTAAGAGGGGTTGTGTTCCTTTGTATTGAATGGAACGGTGTTTTAGCCAATTTTACTTCAACACATATTTCACATTTATGATTAGGATTGATTTTATGCGCCGAAATTAAACTTTGATTTATTAGTTTGCGCAACGATTTGTAATTCATAGTTGTAAACGGAATTTATAGTTTTATTCATAATGACTTACTTCAGTACAATTGTAAGAATGTTCAACTTGAACATTCCATCACACATGTATCCTTTCCCGACATACATCTCATTCTTAGATAACACAAATTTATCGGATACAAATACAAGTTTAAAACCATTCTTGCTAAATAGAGATCCGGACATTAAATTCTTTCTTATATCCGGCACATATAGGACATTGTTGAGGACGAGTTCTTTCCCAGATGTCATCTTCAAAATGACTTTGCCTTGTCCTTCAACTTTGGAACTTGCAGAATTTCCCATGTATAGTTGTTCCCCATTCAATTCTTGATAGCTGGAGAACATCCCCTTGTCCGCACACACATGGCAGGTAGCGCTGGTGTCAATCCACCATTCTCTAATATTTCCAATTATGTAGCATTCGGACACCACTGCAGATAAACTCATTTCTTGCAGTCCATCGGATAGAGTGTTATTTGCAACCATGTGGGCTTGAGCATTCTTCTTTGGCTTTCGACATTCACTTGAACGATGTCCAATCTTGTCATAGTTGTAACAATTCCCTTTGAACTTCTTAACCTTCTTGGAATTTTCTTTTCGCAATGCAAATTAGGGGCCTTTCGTTTCTCGTTGGTTGCCTTTGGTTCCATTTCAATAAAATTTGCACAATCTTGAGTAACCGGCCTTCATTCGATTTTCCGATTGTCCTCTTCAATCCTCAAGCTCACAATCAATTCTTCCAAATTCATTTCCTTGCGTTTGTGCTTAAGGTAATTTTTGAAATCTCTCCACATAGGAAGGAGTTTCTCAATAATGGCAGCCACTTGGAATTATTCACTCAATTTCATTTTCTCGGCGTGGATGTCGTGCAACAAGACTTGAATCTCTTGCACTTGGCTAATTACGATTTTGGAATCCACCACCTTGTAGTCCAAAAATTTGTCAACAATGAACGTCTTTGTTCCGACATCCTCGGTCTTGTACTTTGTCTCCAAAGAATCTCATAGTTCCTTAACTGATTCCTTTGAACTATACACCTCATTTAGTGTATTATCCAATGTGTTTAGGATATTGTTCTTGCATAGAAAGTCCGAGTGTTTCCATGCATCCAAACCAATAATCGATTCACGATTATTTTCCCCTTCTTGTACAGCCGGTGCAGTTTCCTTCAGAAATTTAGCCAAATTAAGAGTGGTGATATAAACAATATCTTTTGTTGCCACATCTTGAAGTCTACTCCTGTAAATTTTTTCGACTTTTCCCCATGTGGGATAGTAGTATTATGCAACGGTATGGCCACGGGTGATATCACATTATTGGAACCATTTTAACTTGACGAAGTCCCAATGATAGTCATTTCTGTTACACAAACAGAAGTTCAACAAAATGATGATAATATCGGTGGAGAAATAGTACACAAATCAATATTCAAAAAAAGTAATGTTTGTCCACAATCAACCACAAAGACACAAAAATTTGTCTTAAAATTGTTGGAGACGACTTATAAAAAGGGCTATGTAAGGATTGATTTTTGATATATTTGTTTGACCAGTTTTAACCCGCAAGAGCGTGATCAAAACACAATTTATATGAATGAAAATTTGGACAGAGTTTCAGTATAAAGATTATGCAAAACAAGGATTAAGAAAGAGTAAAAATAGAGAATAATCCAAGACGAGACATTATCTCTTTCCTTAAAACAAATTGTCCCACTACGGTGCTCACAGTGAATGACACTTGTCTCTCAAAATACAATGGATTCACAACTTGTGGTAGCAGCACTTCAAACCACAAGAAATCGACGAACTTTTAACAGAATTTTCCATGTACAAAAGAAATGTATGAAATGCTATGGAATTAGAAAAGAGAGAATTGCAAGAGGAAAATGAATGTTCAATGCAATTGGTGTACCCAAAACTATGTCCATAGGGTTCTATTTATATATGTAGAAATGGTGCAAATGAAGTACTGTGAGCCAAAACATGCATCTTTTTAAAAAAGTTGTAACACTTGGCCAAAACCTACATCCTTTCGAAAAGTTGCAACACTTTATTTCTTCTAACTTTGGTCCACAATTTTTCATTCATCCGGAATTGATTTCGAGATTCCAAATATACCACGACGATCTACTCGACGAGTAAAATAAGTTAATCTATTTACTTTTGTAATTTGACTATTGGATTAAGTCCGAATATTTGGTCGAAATTGACACGTAGTCACACGTTTTTATTTTCCACTTTTACATATCTTTTAATTTTCCAATTTTTGATTAATAATTTGAACCAGTTCCTACATATTATTCTTTTATGCCGACATGCAAATGAAACTTTGGGTTCTTGGCCTGAATGATCGTGCTGCTCTATATTTTGATTTGCGTTCCCTTGTCTGCTTTTGTAGGCGTTTCTGATTGTCTTTCAAGAACATGTTTAAAGACAGAACTTTTCACGTTAGAAATTTCTAAGACTTTACTCCTGAGAATATGGTGATAACGTCTGGTGCCGAACTTTGATGTTCAAGATTATACGCGAGGCAGCAAAAAAGGGCATACTTCTCGTACTTGCCAAGTTGAGTTTTTTCATTCTGATTGAGGAGAGATTAAGGGACTGATCGAGTGATGTCCCGATTTATCACATCATCAAGTAAATTTAAGAATGAATAAATGGCAAACTTGCTAGTTCCAAAATATTGTGATCTTCAGGTAATTGGCTATTGGCTCGTAGTTGTTCGAATATTTTGTACTAATATATCCCACCTTAATTAGTTTATTCTAACTCACATTAGTCATTTTATTTGAGGTCATGAACCCGACTGATATGTTTTACCTGTGGAAGTACTGCTGGTCCGGTCCAAAGCTGCACATCACCACCATCAATCAAATCGTTTCTTTTTTGTTCAATAAATGAATCCTTTTTAACGACCTTGTTAAACGGGAAAAGGATTTTATGGTTAAAAAGGATGATTTTTTCCAACAATGGTATCAACAATTTCAAAACAGAATCAGAGAATCATTCAACTACAGATAAAAAAACACACACTACCTGGCACCCCATATCAATTAGCAAACATAAATATGTGACGCCAGTTGAACTATCCGAAAATTAAGAGAAAACGGCAATTACTCGATGGCCGGAGGTAGGGAAGTAGGCCTTGCTCCGGACTATCCGTTAATTAACGCAAATTTACTGTCGAGTAGTACTCATGGAACTTCCCAACTTCAATTCCTGCATTAAAGAAATGTTCAGTTTATTTATTGTCTTGCCTTCCTATATAAGTAAAAATGTATAATTGGAAACGTTGTTCTTGTCCTCCAACAAAAGGTAACAGGAAGTCTAAACAGAACTAACGTAAAGCCAACAAAATCACTCTGTGGATAAGTCTCTTTACCTTGTAGTTTTGTTTTAAAAACTTAAGTGAAGAAAAAGAAAATCAGATCTATGTCCCGTGACTCCTCCTTTTCCATGCATTTTCTTTTTAAACGCCAATCTCAAGATATTAGTATAACTACAACGCAATAGACAAGCTCTCTTAGCAACATAGTCTCTAGCTAACTCTATTGGTCCATTCATGGAACATCCTTTGACAACTACATATAGAGCCTCGTAAAAGTTAGTAAGCGATGCTCAAGTTATATACAAAACACGCGCACTTGCATTCTCTAACTCAATTTTATTTTTCTATAATTAAACAGTGAGTTAAGCATCGAAGCAGCACAACCCGGAAGTCCAGTATAGTTCAATGCTTCTTTTCCAAGCACTTTTCAAGACCGTTAATGGCAGACTAATTAGGCTTCTGGTACCAATAACAAGAATTGTATTCAAGGGTTACACCGTAAATGAATCTCACTTGAATAGTCCATATGTACGGTTGCTCAGTATTAAATTCAAGTTGAAACTCCACTTATGTATCTACTTGATGAATTCCTCCTAAAAATTTTTTCCCAATTGAAATCAATTCTGATAGTTCTTCAACCACTTCATCTAAAAATATGTTAAAGCAAAACAAACGAAAGAAAAGGACTAAATTTAATAATTGCTTTCAAAATCAAGCCATTGTGTTGAAATAAACAAGTTTTTTTTTTTTGGCTCTAATCGCCAATGGATTTAAGAACCATGCTCGAGATCAGGTTTATCAGTAAGCTTTATCATGCTTTACAACAACACTATAATGAAATAATCGTAAGTCAGAATTCTAAAATAGCATTCTGAATATCAATAATTGAGGTTAAGTAAGTTACAATGGAAGTTGCAGAGGATCAATTATTTGAAATAGTGATTTATTTTAGGCCTTTTACGTTACTAAGGAAAACTGTAAAAGAATATAATACCTAGCATTAGAACGAAATATACAGTGCGAGCATGGAGTTTGCAAATGATTTATTTCACTTAATAATAAAATTATTTCACTTCTAAGGAATCAAACGATCTTATCTTATTATTTTTAGCCTCGTGATTTATACCGCACTTCATAAACAATAGATTTATGCTCCCTTTATCTTCACACAATAATTTGTGGGAAGTTTTCTTCTTTATTTACATAAAAATGGCATATATTTAGCCATTAAAAAAATAATGTTTCATGAACATTTATTGTTCATCTTTACACAAGAACTTTGGTACGTTTTTTCTTATTTTGTTTTGTACTTTTCTTGTTTATATAAATGTTTCTCCCTTCATTGTTTGAAATTTTTCTGGAAACTTCTACCATTTTTTCTTTTTCGCTATTTGTTTAGATATTATTTCAAATTATTTGTTTATTTCAACACAATGGTTTAATTTTGAACAAATCCAAGGGGTTATTTTAAAGATTCATCAACTATGAATAAAGAAAGTAAAATAATAATATTAGAAGAGCAATATATGTAATTTATTTTCTTTAAATTTGACTTCAAATGAGTCATGTATACAAAATAAGTATAAATTCATTACAAGTAATTAATTACATTCAGATTTAATTCAATTTTTTCAGTTTTGATGTGATTTTGGCAAGTACCAAATATGCCTTAAATACATTTTAGACAATTTATATATTATCTTCCTATTGGAACCTTCATTTTATTCTTGAAGTATATCAACAAAATAATAAATCCCTCTATCTTCCAGTTTACACAGAGACCGGAAAATTGAGGACAAAAGGGTTTATCTTCAGTTTGAAACCTAATACTCTCAAAACCTAGACAGCAATCAGTTCTGCTGCCAAGTGTTGAGCTCCAGCAAGAGATGGGGGCAGACACAACCTAAGGAGACAAGGAATTTCTAGGATTAAATAAGAAAAAAAAGACCTTTTTTAGGTTTCCTGTAAGTCTCACATGGTACCCAGTTTTAGGTCACAATCAAATGTTAAAAGATTGCTTCTTTAGCCCAGAGATTAACACCTGGCAGAAGCCATGGACATGTTATTAAGAAGGGAACCAAACCAGACGACAACCAGCCGTTAGCCGTTTCACAATCGCAGGTATCAATGCAGGTGCAATAAAAGACAAGGGAAAAAGGCTTATAAAATATATGCCCAATGGTCATGCTTATTTGTAAAAACCAAGAACTCAAAGACTGTTAATAGTATTAATGCACGTAAATCGAAATGACACAATGAAAACTTAAGCAAAAATCCCTCAAAAATAATTTATGGAGCTAAAAGATTTTTAATTACCTGAACTGAAGATGGGATGGAGAGGAAAAGGATATTGAATGAACTCAGTTTTTTCTTTTCCCCTTCTGGGAATGCCTGCCAGTGCCACCATCACCATAGCAAAGCTGCAGTCGGGCATCGAAACCAGAAAGGAACTGGTGGTAGTTCTCCACCGGTGCGTTGGTGGTGCCAATAAAGAAATTTGGAGATCCATCGATGGGAGGAAACCTCTGGAGGTGAGGCAAAAGTGAAGGCGAGGAAGAATTGGACTGAAGGGTCCCCCTGTTGAAGCCAGCAAGGCTTGAAGAAGCAGCCGAAGATGAAATTGTGAAGTTCAGATTGTGCTTCAGATTGTACTCGTCAGCACCATTGTGATTATTGTTGTTGTGCACAGTAATAGCCGAAACAAATGGTTCCGGGACAAACGAGATATGCTGGAGCTCCGGTTCATGAACCCCGGATACAGTAAACAGCGGTGAACAAGCCCGCTGCGATAGAGGATCTCCTGAGTGAATTTGCCCTGGACGAGTTGCCAATGGCCCTAAAAGTCCGCTGGTAAAGTAATCCATTGGCGTTGATGACCATTGCCTGGGCGATTTCTGGAAATAGTTTGACTCATTTGAAGTGGTATTTTGGTGAACTGAGGCATTAAGATTGGTGTTGTTATTGGCATTATTCATGCCAACATTGAGGAGTTCAGTGAAAGAAGTGGTATGGGAAAGAGGGTTCAAATGTTCAACATGAGGAGACTCGTTCTCCTTCTCCTTCTCTTTCTCTGCAACTCTTTCCTTTGCACGCTCCCGGGCTTTGATCCTGTTTTCAGATCTGGAAAGGGATAGCCCGGAACCCTTGCTGGAGCCAGATTTGGATAACATCGAAGCCATCTCTGGAGGATTACCCCCACCGCCGCCATCGCAATCCATGTCTACTTCATCTGAATCAAAACCATGTTGATCATTACCACAGGAGCTAGACCTCTTCTCGTCGCTCGGCTGCTTAGGAGTATCCGGAAATGCAGTACTAATGGAAGGGAGCTTCTCGATAGAGCTGGCAGCAGCCATCAGCAGCCACTCCACCGCCTTGCTTGGCTGATCGCAGCCGAGACGGTCCTGCAAATCGTAGAATTGAATCGCCGTGTTCACCGAGAGTCTCACGCGCCGGTCTCTTAACCCCTTTGAAGTGAGAACTTTGCTGTGCCTATCTTTTCCACCAGATGCTCTCGAAACCCGAACTATCCGGGAAGAAGGCCAGCCATTAAACCTACCAAGATCGATACCGCTACCAACTCCGCCACTGCCGTTAGCCCTGCCCCTTCTGGTCTCTCCATCTTCTTCATCTGGGTACTGCGAGTCATCTCCTTTCTGCCCTATTTTAGTTGACTCAATCCTTCTATTTCCATTGCTGATTCTTGGATACTTACACCCATGATTTTGAATATCATCCGCCTCCATGCCACCACTCTCATACCTTTTCACAAACCCCTTTAAGCTCTCTTCTTCCTTATTCACCCCCAAAAAGCGTTTACTGAGAGAAAGCGAAAGAGGGTTCCAAAATTTAAATGGAATCTAAATTTCTAGAACAAGGGTTTTTTAAGAAAAAACTGTGGGTGAGCAGTTGAGTAGTGGGTGTGGGATGAGATGGTGTTCATTGCATTGATGACGATTGCGCAGAAAACTTGCTTTTTCTATAGTGACATATACATATAACAGATGTATATAGAGAAAGGGAGAGAGAGGGTTTTTTCTTCTGCTTGATATATCACGTTCTGTAACAGAGAGGGATTCAGAAGAAGAGAGGAACGAGGGGTGGCTTCGTACAAAGCTTTTTGCAGTGCTTTCAAAAGCAAACCAAAGCCTGTGTACTTGCTCAGAACTCTCTTATCTGACTCCTGTAAAGAAAAAAATAATAATAAAACATTAAAAATCATAACCACATAAAAATCAACCCCAAAAAAACCAAACAAAAAATATTGAGGCATCAGATGCTGTTAAAAAAAGCAAAAAATCAAATAAACTGCTTTTTAGCTTCATCAAGTGAAATGAAAACCCTTCTATATGCTAACATATGGAATAACTGGAGAAGATCTAGTTGTTTTACGTCTTCGAGTAGAATTAGCACTGAACCAAAACGGACTTGACGGAAAATACTTCAAATTTACCTTGAACAAGGACTGTCACTGAATAAACTGCATACACCAATAGCAATAAATAGAAAGAAAGATCAAATCTTACATTTTAATTAATTTAAAGTGATAATTAATCTGTATACTGTACCCTAGTTCTTGAAAAACAGAAGCAAGAAAACGACAAAGTACAAATCCAGAAGTGTTGGATGGATCTGTGACAAACAAAATACGCTGAAGAACCTTTGAGCTGTACACGGTTCAGCTCCTACAGATCATATAGAAATAACACTAAGAAAGTCAAGGACCCGTAATCTTGACTCGTATTTAGATACTCTCAGTCTTGACCCTTATTTCGGTACTAAAGGAAGAGGAAGAAGATAGTATATGCCGGTAATGCAGACTTCGAAGTTTGTTAATGGGTTTACCCGAATTTCCAGCAGACTTGCTTCCTTATCTCCCTACTTTCCAAACTCCTAAGCAACTGAAAATATGCTTATATGCCAGGCCTCTCGTCTGCTTTTCTTGCCAGACCTACGTACGAACTAGACTCCGGAGAAGACACAAAATTTGCCTGAATTTTCAAACGAAAAAAAAATAAAAAAAAAATAGTGGGAGTGAATTGAGATTAGGGTTCTCTATTTTCCTTACTCCTAATTCAGATTTCTGGAGAATTGAATATTGTATTTTGTATTTTGGGAGTCTGAATTTTTTTATTACAGAGGGGTTTGAAGGGACACGTTAATTATATTGGAGCTGCTCATCGCCGGGCTTCTTGTCGTTCCTTCCTTCCTCTCCCCTTCTGTACACATCCAAGTTTCTCTAATTGGCCAAAGTAGAATGGAAAAGCGGATCAGGACCCAGTTAAATCATTAGCTAGTTTGGTTCTGACTATGATTCATTTCGATAAAAATATCTACATTTATTTTTACTTATTTTGTCAAATATAACTTTAAGATGTTTACTTTTTATTGAAGTAACATTTAAGTACAACTAAATGTTTTGATAAATTGAAAGCAACAATGTTCATTTAAAACTCAATCTTATTTGATCACGATTCTGAACTCAAAACTACATACTAGTTTAGAAATACAAGAGTAATTGCTCTTAGCCTTCAATTCAGTCGTTGATGGAGCAACAATGGATATTTCTTTAGATCCATTTGCATTCTTAGCCTCCGTTTGTTTCTTATTTTTGGAAGAATGAGAATAAAAAATATAATTTTTACGAGCCCTACACAAGAAATTAAAATTAAAATTTAATAACTTAATATGATGAATAACGGTCATATTTTTCATTTTAATGAAGAAATGATAAGAACCAAATAAAGACTTAGTATTGATGATATGAAAATTGTAAAAAGTAAATGAAAAAGCAGATGAGACCAAAGATATTTACACGTGTACCCATAAAGTGGAGTAGAGAAGAATGATCATGAATTGATGCAATTATAGAGGTGCTTGTTCCACATTTTTCCAACAAAAATGCATTTTAAACATCACATTATGAGTCTTACTTTAGAGTGTTGAAGTCAAATATTGTAGGCTGATTTGATGGAAAAAAATGTATTATTTTCTCAAATAATGTGCACCAAATGGGGGCATATGTGAGAATTAACGATGTCGCAAATGAAATAAGTGTTTTAATCGAAACTATAACAACAACCGGATCGGTTTAGGAAAAAAGCCATCTGCTTCTGAGTTGAAAAGGAAAGCTAGCAAAGCAAATAGGAGGGGGGTCACAATTTATGTGTTAATTATCTATTCCTATATTTTTTATGCTAATATTGGTGATCGAAGATAACTCTCTTCAATTATTTTTGGGATGGGAAGGAGTACTACAACATTTTGTCCTCATTTCTCTCGTCATAATACCTACAACAAAGGGGTGGGATTTTTCATATTTCCGTTTGACGCCTAAGACCATATATGATGATGGTTGGAAGAACGGGTTAAATTGACTATGTTTTTACATAAAAATGCCTATATATGCCAGGTTCACATAACAACATCTACGCATGAAGCGTGGAATTCATTCCATAACATCTCATTTCCTAGTTCTCATTGTGAGTTGTGAGAAAGGATCAAGCTCTATGATTTTACATTGGGCATCAAATTCTTTTGTTTGAAGTGACAAAATAACTTGATATTTTCAATTTATTTTTTTAGGATCAATTGACAACGTATTCTTTATAGCTAATAAATGAGAGATTGACAAAAGAACTTTGAAGTCCGATAACCAAGAGCATGTTCGACAGTGATTATGATAATTGATTTTTTGATCATTAAAGAGAAAATTAAATCTTATTTACAAGTGAAGAAATAAAAATTGATGGCTGAAATATTGAAATAATGGTCAAAAAATTAAATTTTTTGAGGTGAAAAAAATGTTACCAGACGGGGCTAAATAAAACTTCAAAGAAAGTTGTGCATTTTACTCCATTATTTATACACAAAACCTAACTAAAACAAAACTATGATAGTGAACGGGATGAAACTTTAATGGAATGACTTAATCATAGGAATGAAACAGTAACATGGTAACGCAAAACCTCACAGAAAGGGGATAAAATTGGTTCAAGAATGATGAAAAGGAGAGCACCCAACTCGCCAAAGTGTTGAGTAAAAGAAAAGAGCCTCTCTTCTCCTCCACCCACATCTCAAGCTGAGAACTTGCTCTCTTAATTGAATTAGCCCATATTAGGTATAGATTAAAATTAAATTTTTAATAATGATAAAAGATGATAAAATGTGTGGTTAAAATTAATTGCTGAATTTGACTTAAAATTTTAATTTGATTTTAATCTAACCAAACAATGACTTATTTACATATTCTTAAAAAAGATGATTTTCAGTAAATTACGTAGGACGACTCAACAATATATCAAAATTAACTTGATTTTATGTAATCGAACATGGTGATGAAAAATTAACAATTTTAAATTTACTGAGGATAAGGCTAAATTTATTGTTAATTTAACTTGTATAGTCTTGGATTTATCAATTTTAAAATTAAGTAGATATTAACAAATATATTTTTCTCTCTATTCTTTCTGTTTCGCGCGGGTAGTCGCTAATAATTAAAAATGAATCAGACGATTGTGTAAGGAACAGACCTCTTGAGACGAAGTCCCAAAAAGGGGTGTTTAATCGGCGATGATTTACAGTTGGAACTAAACAAAATATCTTAAAGAGGCGCAAGCACACGAGTACTAAAAGAAATGTTTAAATTTAAATTAAGAAATTGAAATTACATATTTTCTGTTTGAGAGTATTTGATTCAGAGTCTTTTTCTCTATGTCTTCTCTTCCTTTTATATTCCTTTGATAATTTATTCGTGACAAACCTCTTGAAAATTGCTTGATTACTGTTTAACCACCCACTTTCTTTATGGTGGCTAACTTGTTGTGGAACCGTCGTCCCTAACTGCTGTCGTTACTCTTTGTCGTTCAACTGCCTTCAACTGGGCTCCTTGAATTGTGAAATGTGATAAGATCACTCAATAGCTGTTATTCTGGATAACCATAATGTTTTATGCTTGCTGAAATCTTGGGCGATTCGAAGGTTTGGGCGAGAATGGGGTCATCGCTCTGGGCGACTGTAAGGAATTCTATTCGTTCAGATTCTGGGCGTCTTGCAAGTTTGGACGATGATGTTACCGTGTTCGTGGGCTTCCACCGCATTCATCAATAATCCTGTTTAGACCTTTATCCTGGATTCCCCAATTAGGCTTTACTCTTTGGGCTATTTGATTTGGACTGCAATTTTAGTGTATCAACACTTACCCCCCAATATGGCAGAATTAATACTAATTATTAATCTTTGTCATATTCAATTTGTATTTTCTAGTAATATTTGAAATTCCCAAGAATTTCAATCATTATTTCCTTCTACAGTCTGAAAAGGTGCAACATAAAAAACATTTATAAACCAAAAGGACACACTATTTCATCGCACCAGTAAACCACGTCTCTATATTTCGTGCTTCTTTCTCGCTATTTTACTGTTCATCTTCTTACTTATCTGTTACGTTTCTCAGGCAAACCTTATCAAAACTGTACTTTGTTTCCAATGACGACTTCACAAACTCAATCTGATAATTCTTTTAGTTTTGAAGATTTCCAGAAAATCCTTACTAGGCCATATGTAAATCCAAACTTCCTTGCACAAACTAGTGTTGACCTCAATGAATTCTATTTGGGTCCATCGTTCAATAATGCCGAAGCCGTCGCACAAGTGGCGGTGGGTTAGCTATTCCCTTGCACTCAAGGTCCTCCATTCCTGAACTCTCTACCATTGAGACCGATTCGTGAAAAATGTATTCGCACTTAGCCCAAAATTGATGTTATTTTTGGTAGATGGCATGCACGTCTTGTGAGTTATGGCCCCACCAAGGCGATTTTTGATCGTGCTAGAATTTCAGATTTATTAGAAATTTCTCTTCAACCTTGATTTTTGACCCAGTGCTTTTTCCTATTACTTTGAGTTTTTGGTCTTCTGAGTATAACACATTCGTTTTCCCTCTTTGTCCTATGTCTATTACTTTAAAGGATGTTGGAGCCCAAGTAAATCTTCCGCCTTTGGACGAAACCATCTTTCCTAGTATCTTGATTTCCAATATTGCCCCGAAATTTGACAAGAAACTTACTGAGTCCTATTCAAGCCTGCAAGGCTTTTATAATCACTCAAGCGCTGAACCTTCCCATACTGAGCGTGTGGCATTTCTTCATATTTGGCTCTGTAAATATATTCTTTAGGTGCCAAGTATGAAACCTTCTATGAGCTACTTACCCATAGCGCATGAATTGGCGCGTGGTAGGCCTTAGAACTTATGTTCCTTCTTTTTAGCCGTCCTTTATAGAGGCATGGCTTCCCTTCAGTTTCAACTGAAGAATGGTGCATCTCTCACTGGCAGTGGCCCCCTTTAGTTCACTCAATTGTGGTTGAGAGCATATTTTCCACCACTTGGTGCTCCATCCATTTCCAGTCGTTCTGCTAGCTGCTATGGGCTAGCCATTGATCCACTGACCCCTGTAAATATGTCCAGTAGGGACATTTTTTCATTTTTTTATACATTAAATTCGATTCCTTCCTTCTTTCCTTTTCCTGCTCATTTGACTCCAGATTATGTGCAACCTCCATCTACCCTAGACGATGCGAATGCCTCTTCACTTGTTTGGGTTCAGTTTTTGATTGGGAGGGAATTGTTCCACGATATCTTAACTAGAACCAATGCCAAAGCTAGGGTTGAAATATATGCTCCCCAACTTGGTTTTGGCCAAACTTGGCCTATTCCTCCCTGTTACTCCAAAAAATTGACAGACCGCTTTCACACTATTAATAAGGCAGAGGCACAAGCTATAGATGCTCGCAACATTCTTTTGACGAGCAAATTTTCATTAGCCCCTTTCAATTCTAGCCGTGTTGTCCATCCTCTTTTTGAACAGCTTTGGCTATCAGTAAAACGCCGATTGTTTGCAATTGATGCTAATCGTGCCTTCCATTTACTGGACCAGCCAGGCACTTCCTCTACTTTCCCTATTTTGGTCACCCCTGTGTCCATTAGGAATCCTTCTTCCTCTGTTCATGCTAAACATTCTATTCATCCATATGCTTCTCTACCTGCTAAGGCTACTGCAGCTAAAAGTGCTTTAAGCCGCAAACGACAAGTTTCAGCATCTCCCACTTTGCAGGATGATGATGATGATGATGATGATGACGCTCCTCTCATCCTTAGGAGAAAGGTAATTGAATTTGTTTATTCACGAACATACTTTTCTATGTACTAATGGTTTACTTGAATTTCTCAGAAAAGTTCAGCCTCTCCTTCGAAG